ACCTGTGACAAGGAAAATACTAAGGGAACCACATGAATTCATAAAGATTAGTGATAGGTACAATATTCCCTTAGCTGCTCAACTAATGAAGGAATAACAAAGCAATTGATCTATATTAGTTGGGTTTCTCCACAAAGACAAAACCAATGGGATTGAGATCAAAAGGCATCAGTTTATGCAAATTAGGAATGCTGAGAAGTTCCCAGATTTGCAGTTGGCAAGCTGAAGACCAAGGAGCTGACGTGTAGCTGCAGCTGGAGTTTGAATGCCTAAGAACCAGCACAGCCAAGGGTGCAGTTGTAGTGCCAAAACCAGCAGGTTAGCAGAGCTGATGTTTCAGGCTGAGTGTGAAGGCCAGACAAATCTAAGGTCTTAGTGCAAGCACTGAGGTACAGTGCATTCTTTAATTAGAGGAAGGGTCAGCCTTTTGGTTCCAGGCAGGCCTTCAACTATTATATGAGAATTGCCCACTTTGGAGAAAGTTATCTAAACTGTGTATAGTCATGCCTATAATCCCAGCACGGTGGGAGGCTCACAACAGAAGCCTAAATTCAAACCCTGTCTGGGCAATTTACTGATTTTGCAACAACTTATCACAAAATTAAAAATAAAAAGGGCAAAATAGGATTGGGGATGTAGCTCAGTGCATATGCCTTGAGTTGAATCCTCAGTAGAGAGAGGGAGGGGGAGAGAGGGGGGAGAGAGAGAGACAGACACTGCACAATGTACTGACACAAATGTTAATCTCATTCTTACAGCCAGACACAGTGGCACACATCTGTAATCCCAGCACACTGCGAGGCTCAGGCAGGATTGGAGATTTGAGTCCAGCCTGGGCAATTTAGCAACATTTGGGGAGTGACGGGGTGGGGACTCCTTACGGTCACTCAGAATATTGACAAAATTATCCAGGTCCTTTGTAGTCTCGTCAAATTGGCACGTAAAATTAACCATTTTGTAATCCAAAGGCATACGACATAGAGTATTAGTATTTATTTGAAATTCAGAGCCAGGAATGGTGGCTCATGCCTATGACCACAGTACACGGGAGGCTCAGGCAAGAAGATCAAAAGTCTGGGCTCAGCCCGAGCAAAAGTGATACTTCTCTCTAGGTAAAGAATTTAAAAGGTATGGATATGTAGCTCAGTGCAAAGGCCCTGGTTTCACTCCTGAGTACTATAAATAAATAAATTCTCCAAACTGTTTTTTTAAAAATTGAAACATTGGGAGGTTTCAAGCTATAAGCTCAGCAACAGAGCATCCATTGAGTATATGCAAGGCTCTGGTTTCAATCCTCAGGCCCCCAAAAACGAAAACCACCAGCACTTGTGATTTGGGTTTGGTGTTCAAGTTTTACCATGATGTGCCCAAGTGTGGCTCTACTTGTCCTATAACTTACAGGCTCATTGTGTGTCTTCAGTGCTGGAAAATCCTTACCCATTAAATGCCACTTTTTGCTCATATTTATATGGCTGCTGCCAAAATGGCAAAGCTCTTGTTTTTGGTATTGGAGACGGAGCCTAGGGCCTTCACACTGAGCTACTCCAGCCAAAAATATTGATCGCTGGGTTTGCAGGGTACACACCTGTAATCCCAGCATTCAGGAAGGTGAGGCAGAAGGATCACTGTTATAAGCCAGCCTGGGTTACAGAATGAATTCAAGGTCAGCCTGAACTACAGTGACACCCTGTCTCAAAAAACCAAACAAACAGATTTTGCAACTCTGATTGAACCCAGGTCCTTCACACTAAGCTGTATCTCCAGCCCATTTAATCTTTTTTGAGACCTGGTCTTACTAAGTTGCTCAACCTCCAAGGCTGGGCTCAAACTTGCAGTTGTCCTGCCCAGGCGACAACAGGAAGTCCAAAGGGATGCAGGCACTTACCCCCTCAGAAATGCCTAGTGCTGTATTTTAACAAGAGTCCCTGGGTTTTGAGCCCACCACATTCCTTTTTGGATATACTTCACTATGTATTTGGACAGCACTCTGGTCATCCTTTAGTTACACAAATTCACAAAATTAAAGCAGGACATGTTCTGTAAATTGGAATTAAAAAAAAGAGGATAAATTTGTGGACTTGTTTCAAACACATCTGAATGTGCTGGAAGAGGCAAAAACTAATGTGAGGAAAACAACTAGGGAGCAAATCACGTGAGCTGCAGTGTTAAGGACCTATCCAAAGTTACTAACAATCCGTAACACCTGTTATGCACAAATTGTTATTCCTGCTACAGCAGGGAGGGGAACAGAGAAAGATCCTGCTACCACGGAGCCTGCACTCCACTGGGAAGCAGACAACCACATGTAACTGCCCAAGACAGTTCTAAATGTTTTGAAAACAGAAGCGGACACACAGCGGAGGCAGGAAGTGGCAGCTGTCACACAGGATCTTCACATGGCAAGCAGGGTTTCCACGATCACTACACACCCTTTTTGACCACTGCTGGGTGAGAACGGCCCTCAGCTACCTTGGGTTTATTCCTACCACGCTGCAGTCTCCCTGATGTTTTTTGGAAGGAGGGGGGTTCCCCACCATATAGATAGCTAACACGTTTTCCAGTCTGACTGTTTAATAGCACTATCTCGGCTGGGCATGGTAGTGCACACCTGTATCCCAGCACTCAGGAACCGGAGGCAGGACAGCCTGGGCTGTACAGTGAGTTCAGGGCCAGCCTGGATTACCCTATTTCAAAACACCAAAAAAAAAAAAAAAAAAAAAAAAAAAGCATTCTTAAAAAGAGAAAATGGGTAACTTCATTAAAAAAAAAAATCTCCTGTAAGTACTTGAAGCCTGAAAACTTTTACTCTAATAACAGACCCACACCACTAATTCTTTACACTTTTTCTTCATGACAGTAGTAGGGATCCTGCCCATAGCTTCAGCATGGCAGACAGCTGCTCCCCCAAGCTACTACTTCCCCAGCCCTTGGTACTTTCCCTTTAAATGTCAAGACAGTGCTTTAGGGGGTTTCATTAAACCTAAATTACCAATCAGGTGAAGCTTCGAGTACAGAGCATGTTAAGACCCTAAACTGGAACTATAGCTTACTGATTAACAGAGCTCCAAACTCTTTCATGGCTTAGTAAACAGCCTATCCCTTTTAAGCTCCTAATTTTCCATAAACTTTTTTTTTTTTTTTTTTGAGATCGTTTTGCTACATAGTTCAGTCTGGCCTTAAGCTCAGTGATCCTCCTGCCTCAGCCTCCCAAATGCTGGGACTACAGGCGTGCACCACCACATCGAACAATAAACACTAACTTGTAAGGTCCAGGAGGGGGAATTTTTAAAATTTTCACCTCTGGAAAAACTGTTACCTTTATTCTCATTCTTCTGCTCTGCAGGTAAACAAGTCCATGGTTCTCTATTCCAGAAAATCTCATTTCTAAGGATAAAACATCAATTAGAACCATCCAAATGTTTAATCCCAGCACTCAGGAGGCTGAGGCAGCATCGGCATGAGTTAGAGGCCACAATGAACTACATAAGCAAGTTCAAGGCCAGCCAGCAATACATAGCAAGACTCTCTCACACATGCACAAAAAAAAGCAGCAGGAACAATTCAGTGGCAGTGTGATTATAACACATGCAAGGCCCTGGGACTGATCTACAGCACATAAAAAGTAAAATAAAATAAAAATTTATGTGTGGTGTTGGAGATAGAACCCAGAACCTGTGCATCTAAGCACATCTTTTAGTACATCTTGTGCATCTTTTAGTACATACACTTAAGTAGATCTTTTTTCTTTGTTTTTTTTGAGGCAAGGTCTCACTATGCAGTTCAGGCTGGCCTTGAGCTCACTTTATAGCTCTGGGTGGTCTTGAACTCACAATCCTCCTGCCTCTGCCTCCCAAGTGCTGGGATTACGGCTGAGCCACCTGATCCAAGGGCCGTAACACCTGAGTGCATCCCCATCGCTTTTTTTAAACACAAGGTCTTACACTAGGGTGCCCCGGCTGGATTTGAACTTGCAATCTTCTGCCTCAGTCTCCCACAGTGCTGGGATTACAGGCCTGGGGCACCATAGCCTCCTAGGGTCAACCCTTTAAACTGCCTAACTTGCTTCTTATTATGACACAGTGTAACATGTTGCTGGAGGGTAAATTGGAAAAATGACTAGCTATAGCTTCAGGATGTAGGCGGCTCTGCAGTTTTTTCTGTTCATTTACTGTTTTAATTAATTATTCCAAGAAAGGGTGTTTTTCCTTGGTTCTCTGAGACAGGGTTTCCTTATATGGTTTAGACTGGCCTCAAACTTGTGGAGATCCTCCTGCCTCAGCCCCTCAAGTGCTGGGATTAATGGGTGCATCACCAGGCCTGGCCAAGAAAAGCATTTTGTTTTTGGTCTTTTTTGAGATAGGGTCTCGCTGTGTAATTCAGGTTAGCCTTGAGCTCACTTTGTAGCCCAGGCTGGTCTCAAATTCACAACAATCCTCCTGCCTCAGCCTCCCAAGTGCTAGGATTACAGGCGTGCACCACCACACTCAGCAAGAAAAGGATTTTTAAAGAGAGTTCTGTTAATGTTTGCCTACAGTTACATAAGGAAGCCATATACAACTTTTTTTTTGAGGTGCTGGTGATCAAGTCCAGGGTCTTCAATGGTGTTAGGTGCTCTGCTCCTGAGCTACAAGTAAGTTGCACAGACAAAAACTAACTGGAATTGGTTGTTCACATTTTCACTGTATCCATTTACTTGTCTAGAGAAAGCAGTGAATACTGAAAATCAAGCCTAAAGCTACATTAATTATGAACTAGTTGGGCATGGTGGCACACACCTGTAATCCCAGCACTCGGGAGGCTGAGGCAGGAGGATTGGTTCAAGTTCAAGACCAGCCTGGGCTACAAAGTGAGCTCAAGGACAGCCTGAACTGCATAGCGAGACCCTGTCTCAAAAAGACCAAAAAAAAAAAAAAAAAAAAACTCAAATGCCATTTACCATTTAAGTGCTCTCTCATACAAAGCATCAAAAAGTTAATACAAGTACTACTCTTAGGCAGTCACAGAAGTCTAAGCCACATTTATTTGCACATGTATAGTAATGGGCAACAGACACTCCAAGTTCATACAAATTCATAAAACAACAAAGTTAATAATCACTTGGTACACTTGTGTGCTATCTTGCTTACATACTCAAGTATAGATGAACTTCCTTCATTTTGTAAACTTTCATACAATACTTCCTTAAACAAAAAAAATTCTTGGAACCACAGATTGGCATGTTGCAGTTAGAGCCAACACAAAGGGTAAGAAGAGACCACAAACTCAAAAACCGAAAGTTTAGAAGATACTGTACTTCTACCTCCTTCCCCCTAGAAAGAAGTATTTTAACAGTTTATATATGCTGTTATCACACAAGTAACCATGACGACAAAAGAATGATGCTCCCATAATTAGGAAGAAAATGACAACCAAATCGTACTGTTTTATCTACCAACCATATGGTTTAAGAGAACGGGAAAATGCTTAGATTAAAACAAGGGAAATTAGGAAATAGTAAGTGACTTTTAAAGAGAACTATTCCCTCACAGCCACAAAGACCTGGTTCTGACAACTCAAAAATGTAACTGTCTCAGGCAAATGAAAGTGAGGAAACCTTAGTAACATTCTAATTGTGTTTAGCATCTAATGATAAAAGCTGAAAATGATATCAAGAGGTTATTTATTATACAACTGTCAACAAGGACATCCCAAAAATAATGGAAGAAATGCACATTTATTTCTACAAAAGCAGTATGATACAGAATTACAGTAGAAGGGAACAGACTTGAAGATTTACCTATTAAAATATACAGATTCTTACTGAAGAGTGTATGATATTTAAAAAAGATGACAAGGGATGTTAATCTTTTTTATTATTATTATTTTTACATATTTTGGAACCTCACATAATTTTGATAAATAACTCTTACAAAATTATGCAAAAAGTACAAGAATGTCTGGTAAACAAACAGTCTGTATTTTCCAAAAAGATTTTTTACAACATGCATTTCTTAAGGCAGCATCCTCCTTACAAGGAAAGGTAATCCTTTTACTCATCAAGAAATCTTCTGCTGCAAATAGGCTAAGAAAGCCTGGCTTCTTCCATTAACGCCTCTTGTCTTTCCTGTCTGATTTTCGGTCTCTTTCACTTCTTGAAGATCTTTTGCCTGATCGACTACTCTCTGATATAGACCTCTTTCTGTCGGAGCGGGAATTCTTATCCTTTGATCCTTTTGCATCTCTACTACTACCACCTTTGGAAGATTTGTGACTTCTTTCTAGTCCTGAAGTATCCCTCCGCTTCCGATCCACGCTCCTCCTGTGCTTCCTGTCCCTATTATGTCCCCGGCCTCTACTCCGACTTCTACTTTCACTACTACTAGTAGTGCTGCTGCTGCTGTCTCTGCTGCTGCTCCCGCTTGTGCTGGAGCTGCTGCTGGAGCTGCTGCGACTACTACTGCTGCCGCTGCTGGAACTGCTTCCGCTGCTGCTACTAGTTGAACTGCTACTGGAGCTACTGCTGCTGCTGCTTCGACTTCTACTCTTGCTCGTTTTATTCCTAGCACGACCTCTACTTCTGCTCCTAGTTTTGGTTTTGCTTTTACTTTCTGAAAGTATTGTCAAGACTGGCTCTACTGTCACCTCCATGAGTTTCACAGACTCTACAGAAAACTCCTTCCGCTCAGGTAGTAAGTTTCCTTGATCTTGAATGACCTGAGGTGATGGCTGTAAAACAGCTGATGGCAGAGTCTCAGGCTGAGGGACAGGCTGGGGCTGGGGCACTGGCTGGGGCTGCAG